GATTTTGTACACAGATTGTACTTTTTTTCTGAAGGTATGTGTTAGTGTTTGTGTTAGTGTTAGTGTTGTTTACACCAACAGTTTAGCATCAGTCTGACCTTATACTTACTAAATACTTGACTTAATTCAAACCAGCTGGACGCTTGACTCCTCCGTTTGGCACCTGGATCATAATGCACCTTGCTCCCTCGTCATCCCATCAGTCATCTAGCTGCGCTCCCTCGAGATCCTGTGCTCGTCTGCATCAGTGCCCCGCTCTCCTCTGTTTTAAAGAGAGGTTATGGACAGGAGACACCAGGAGAGTGGCTGAAGTTGACAGATGGTCCGTGTCACAGGGACGCAGGGAATATTTACCGAGGGTCGCCCATGCTCCGAAATGGATCTTAATGTTCATCTTTGCTGAGCCATCACTTTGAAAAATGAACATGTGCAACTCCTTCGCCAACCTTGCATCTTTTCCTTCCGTTCTGGCTTTTGCCGCACGTTCTGGTGCGTCTTCATAACCGATGACTTTCGTGACTCTCTTTGAGACGTCTTTAATAGAGCAGCTGTGTGTTACGTTTAGCCGAAGCATCGGTCAAACACAAAGTGCCGGTGTGGAGGAGGCCGGAGCAGACGGTGCTGCTGTGGACGGGATGGCCTGCAGCGCTCCGGCTGGAATCATTTTGCACTCTGTCAACAAATTTAACACGAGGGAATAATTAGAGAAAGATTATGCTTCTGCTGAGAAATCACAGCTACTGTACAGCCAGTTCTGTTTCATTTTAGGCAGACCTGAGGATACATACATGAGTTCCAACATGATAAATATCTTTACTTGTGACAGATCAATATAAAGGCAAGATTTGTAAGATTTTTGATTGTGATGGAACCTAAAGGAAGCAATTTATTGTATTTTATATAGTGTATGTATGTATTTCCATTTATGCAGCATGAGAGAAAAATATTAAATATCATATAATATAGACAAAATGACGTTTCCAAAACTAAATCATTGTTTTTTATATTGTCATTAAGACTGAAGTAAATTATTTGAAAAACAAAGTCAGTATTTTTTTTTGGAGAAACACAACAGAAAATCCATGGGTGGTATTATTATTATTATATTTTGTAAATGTGTTAAAAATTATTGTTAAAAATATTTAATTAACATCTTATGTAAACATGGAAAATATTTACTTTCTTTTAACATGTATTTTTTTCTACTTACTAATAATAAAAATAATAATAATGTTAATTATTTGTATTTGTGTTAAAACTATTTTGTTGATGACTCATAAAAATACATTTTCTTTCTTTCTTTCAAATGTTGCCTTCCTTCAAATTTTGGACCCCATTACTAAATTCTGTGATAGTATTTAATATTTAACATTTTCAACAATCGGCTGAAAGCAGAAACCGATTCACTTGACTGATTATACTGACAATAGCAGTTCCCTTTTGCATCCAATATTTATTCTGTGAATTTTTAGGAATTTAATTTCAGCAGTTTTGGAACTTCTGTTCCCTTTCAGTCGGTCACTCTCGACGTCACGTCGGATGACCGACGAAATTGGGATCTCGCTTAGACTCTCTAAGCAAGATCCCAATTTCGTCGGTCATCCGACGTGACGTCTCCGTTCCCTCCTTCAGGGAACGAGGGTTACCATACGTAACCGAGACGTTGTTGTTGTTAGTTGTTTCTTCTTTATATCGACATTATTGGCATTTGCCATCTTTCCTGCATTTGCCTCAATCTAAATTTCTGACGACACACCTCTGCTCTCTATATTACTGGTACCAGTATTAGAAAATGAAAAACTCTCATTGTTCGACCATCACTTTTTACATATTCATAAGCAACATTAGACCAGACGTTTTCAAAAGCAGCTCTTTATCAGATACTAATCAAACATTGTCTCTGGCCTTTCTGAGTTACGTGCTCCAGAGATGTGTTGCTCACGTTTCATTCTCAGCAGTTTGACTGATCGTACAGTTTGATCAGCTTGTACTTTCCTGCAGTGTTGGTGATGGATTTTTTCAGACACACACTGTCCTCGTTCATCGTGAAGGCCGCATCTCTGGCCTGACTCTCTGTTCAGTATTGATTTAGCCTGCTACTGGCCTCTATCAGGACCGCTGAAAACATCGACAAACAAAGATTACAACATATTCTTTGGACTTTAGTGCACTTTTCTAACACAATTGCTCTGATATTTTGTGCATATCGAGAGAAAGAGAGATACATACACATATGGAGTGTATGTCAATTAATTCAACATGGAGTTGGAAAGGTATGAGGCATTTGTTTACCCAAAAATTAAAAGTTGCTGATCGTTTACTCAGGCCATCCAAGATGTAGATGAGTTTGTTTCTTCATCAGATTTGGAGAAATGTATTATTCTATCACTTGCTCAGCAATGGATGCTCTGCAGTGAATGGGTGCCGTCAGATTGAGAGTCCAAACAGCTGATAAAAACATCACAATAATCCACAAGTAATCCACACCACTCCAGTCCATCAGTTAATGACTTGTGAAGTGAAAAGCTTCATATTTTTAAGAAACTAATCCATCTTGACATTTTTTAACATTTTAAAATAATAATAATAATAAAATACAAGTCCTCGGCCCATACTAATGTTATGTCCAGTGAAAAAGTAGTGTGGTCTGAATCAGGAGAGAAATAGGCACAGATCAAGCACTGTTTACAAGCCAGAACAGATCTAAACATATCTGTGGGTGGATTTTGATGTGAGAGGACAACAGGAGATGGACTTTTTCACTGGAGGAAGTAGGGATGCACTGAAATTTCAGCCACCGAAAATGATCGGCCAAAAATGGCATTTTTGGTTTTCGGACGAAAATAAGAACCGAAAAAATATGGCACACCGCCCAGCAGTGTTAGGCCCCGATCAGACCCGACACGTTTTTTTTGCAGTGAGAGGTACCTTTTTAAAATGTTTTTCTATTGGCAGTGAGTGCTTTGTGTGCTGTTTATGCGCCCTGGCGTTTTAAGCCCCGGTCAGACAGAACTAATATGTCAGTTTATTAACAGTAAAAAATATTCTAGTGCACTCGCGCTATCCACCTTTTTCTTCCTGTAAGAGTGGGTCTGGCCATTTGTACATTGTATGGGTCTGGCTTCCGGTTTTTCTGAATTAAAAAAAGTTAAACAAAAAAAAGGTTGTGCGGTGCACCTCACGTTTTCAAACCTGAAAAATGATCGGGGCCTTAGGTTTCAGACGTCGTCACTGCGTGGTGTGACACTCCGCTCAATATTCCGCTCTATGAATGTGCATTCTGCTCATGCTCACCGGAAAAAGCAAAAACCGTTCAAATAACTCACAGACAGGAAATTTCTATGTAGTATCCACCTTTTTCTTCAACGCGGAAGTAAGCCTATGGGTGAGACTTCCGGTTCATTAGCCTTCTCATATAACGAGAAGAATAACAACGTGCAGTTAAAGGTAAAACTGTTTGCACTACAAACCAGTGTGTTCATAATTAAGATAATACATAAAAATAATATGGTAAGACACACCCATTTTCAATATCAAGCCACAAAAGGAGCGGTTCTCTACAGCTAAAAATAACTGGACGCGGATGAGACCGGAAGCTAGACCCATAGAATTTACAAATGGCCGCGCCCATTTTTACGGTAAGAAAAAGGTGGATACTTGTTCCTGTTTGCAATAGCGCTACTGTGCTGTAACATGGCAACGCTGGTAAAATGAGGCTGCCCTCTTGTTCACTGATCTGCCCCCCGCTATGCTCTGCTCACATGCTCTGATAATAATAGCTTTCTAGGACTATACATTATTTGGATAATTAGTCAAAAAAAACAGTTATGATGTTTTTATCAGCTGTTTGGACTCATTCACTGCAGAGGATCCATTGGTTTTTTACATTTCTCCAAATCTGTTCTGATGAAGAAACAAACTCATCTACATCCTGGATGGCCTCAGGGTGAATTAGTCCTTTAATATTTTATTTCTCAAAAATAAAAGTGCCAAGCAAAACCAAGAAGGGATTTTTGCAAGGGATTTTTCTTAAGTGTGAAGGATATTTTAGTAATGTAACAAACCCTTTTTTTTTTTGTTTTTTTTTTTTGAAGAGAGTGATTTCTCAGGCAGCGCAACTTATTATATTTTGTTAAATTTTGATAAAAATGTTTTTTGTTTTTTTTTAGAATACAATAAGATGAATGTGCATCAGAATGTATAAATATAAAATAAATAATTGTATGAGAACCAAATAATGTCAAATGAGCAAAGATATTATTGGTCTTCTGATATTGTGTTAGTGGTGCAATTTTTTGTTGGTAAAATTGAGATTTGATCATTAAAATTTGCCAAATAAAACCTTCAATTGACTTTTCTTTTGATAAAAGTCCTGTCTTTAATCTATAAATGAATTAGTCATTGAAAAGTTCTCTCTGACAAACAAGAAACCAGTCATGAGACTGTGTACGTAATATGGGACGTTTATTTATTTAATACTGTAAATACAGTGTTAAACATATATGTGACCCTGGAGCACAAAAGCAGTCTTAAGTCGCTGGGGTATATTTGTAGCAATAGCCAACAATACATTGTATGGGTCAAAATTATCAATATTTCTTTTATGCCAAAAATCATTAGGATATTAAGTAAAGATCATGTTCCATGAAGATATTTTGTAAATTTCTTGCCGTAAATATATCAAAACTTAATTTTTGATTAGTAATATGCATTGCTAAGAACTTCATTTGGACAACTTTAAAGGCGATTTTCTCAATATTTAGATTTTTTTGCACCCTCAGATTCCAGATCTTCAAATAGTTGTATCTCGTCCAAATATTGTCCTATCCATACATCAATGGAAAGCTTATTTATTCAGCTTTTTCAGATGTATAAATCTCAATTTAAAAAAATTGACCCTTATGACTGGTTTTGTGCTCCAGGGTCACATTTAAATCTTACTGCTTTTTTAACTTTGTCAACTCTCGGAATTCGACATGATCTCTGTCCTTTGTCCACAGGTGTGCATAGGGAAGATGTTTGCGATCCAGAAGACGGTCGTTGAACAGGAGGAAAAGAAGAGCGATTGATGTGGCGTTGGAGCGACGGTCAGGTGTTCTCTGGCTGTGCAGGACTGTTGCGGGGTCGAGGGTCTTCATGTTTCCTCTTCAAACATCTGCATCAGGGTCGATCCCACGTCCACTCCTGTTTACGCACTCATTTAAGATTCTGTGTGCCATGAAATTATATATAATTGTACATAATGTAGTATTTTTCATGCTTTTGTGGTTTACATGTTACAATAAATCCATGTCAGCTGCATTCGCTTGTGTGGGTTTTCTGAGTAAATGGCTGTTTTCATTGATCTGTTCCTTAAAGGTTGGTTTCACAGAGGGTAAAGGTGTCTGACAAGGCCAAACGGTTAAAAATAGCTCATTCTGTTAGTTTTCAGTCAGCGATGGCCTAGTAAAAGGTGAAAGGTATAAAGATCACATTACCAGAGTGTATAGCAAAAGCAAGCAGTTTTGTTAAAAGTCTTATGCTCGTGGCCTAAAATTCTAAGTGCATCACGTAAACAGAGATCTAAATGAAATTACATGAATTCATGCGGCAGATACCGTTGACAGAAGCACTTGCATTAATCAATACAGTGTTAAAGAGAGTTGTATTTGGACATTTATTTCATTGTGATATTAAAGTAACATATCAAAAAAGAGTATAATAATTTGTAGTCATTATATTCTTAAATTTATATATATTTGTTCAAATATTTCAGTATTTTTTCATCAAGTTTACTATTAGTTTTGCTACTTAAATATTCATATTCCCATAAGATGTAATGCATTTGCCCAACTTATGGTACATATTATACCTTCGTCTTTTAAATGGACAAAACCTTTATTCCTGTACACTGTATGTAATATTGTCTTGCAACCAAATCTTACATAATTAGCATCTGATCTATATTTACTTGAGCTGTTTTATTTACAAATCTGGAACGTCAGCCTTGATATCCATTTCACATCCACAATGTTTGTTTTTCTATTTTCAGTTTTGCTTTGGTTTGTATTACATTGACTGTGCAGATATGCAAATGAAAATGAAAAACATGCACACTATATATCCAAAGATATTTTAATTGCTTCTCAATGGTTGTCATTTCATCCTGGTACTGTTGTGTCACAAGTCGGGGAAAAAAAAGGAAATGGTTGCACACAGTAACATTACAAAACTGCATTGTGCTGCACTTTGTCAAGCATCATTTGCTGAGTATAATCCCAGCCGCTAAATGAAATCACTTCTGCATTCGTGAAGAATATTTGCATATTGCAAAACAGAAGACCTTCGTCCCTCTGCATTGCTCGTAGTCAAACAGATGCATAGAGCATACAACGCTCTGAGAAACTGCAGCAAAGCTGGACTTTGGTTTAAATGACAGATAGTTTATCTCATATGTGTACATATAGACTTATTACAGACCTGCTTTACTTTCAACACAGCCGATCTCTGAGAGAACTCTAAACATTTCGTTTGAATGTCTTCCATCACTTTATTCTATGGAAGCTTGTTTCCGCCACGGGACAAAAATAATAATAATAATAATAATAAAGGTAATTGCAATTGCTTTTTTTAATCTCACATTTAAGAGGAAAAAAAGGTAGAATTGCAAGATATAAACTTGCAATTATGATAAAAAAGTATTTTTTTAATGAACTGTTTTATTTTTATTCCGTGGCAGGAAAAAAGTCAGAATTGCAAGATAAACGTCAGAATTCTGAATTTTTCCCAAAATTATGAGTTAACAAATGTCATTGATGAATACTCTCAGATCAAACTACATTTATTTGTCCCAAATGGAACTGCTGATTGTCCATAATTCATTGCTGTATTATGTTCTCAGTGATTAAGCCTCTTCATTCCAAAGAACTTCAGTGTCAGTGCATGAGCCATGATAGAAACAACACATTTTGCATTATTAATAAATGGCTTGACTCATTTGTGAAGGAAAACCAGCATAAAGTAATGTGTGTGATTCCCTGCATCATTTCAGTATACAACAAAGTCAATTCTTTCATCATTTACTCATCCTCATGTCATTTCAATTTGTATGACTTTCTTTCTTCTGTGGAACACGAAAGGAGATGTTTGGGAGAATGTCCACGCTGCTCTTTTCCATTCAACAAAAACACATTGCAGCCTAGAGGGGCTGTCAAGCTTCAAAAGGGACAAAAAACAACAACATAAAGTATAGTATAAAGTCTTTGTGTGAGTAAAAGCTTCCCCTCCTCCATAGCTCCCATATCTGATTTGCATAGTCAAAAGTGTCATTTCATTGGTTCTATGTGTCTCAAGGCATATCGCCATGCTTTTGAATGGTCTGAACCGAAGGCAAATGTATGGAAGCTTGGTTCTGCTACAGCATTAAACAAAATTGATAAATGAATAAAAAGGTAATTGGGACTTTTTGTCTCACAATTCTGACTTTTTTCTCTCTCAGAAAAACTCTTGAGTTCTGAGGAAAAAAAAGTTATAACTGCAAGACGTAAACTCAGAATCCCCCCCCCCATTTTTTTCACAGAATAAAACACAAAAAAGGAATAATAATTGCAACTTGACAATTATGACTTTTCTTCTTAGAACTGCAAGTTCACATCTCACAATTCTGAGTTTTCTGAAAGTTTATGAAAGTCTGATTTGTGAGATAAAAAGTCACTTTTTGTTTTTATTTTTATTTTTTGTTCCTATGACAGAACAGGCTTCAATTCAAATGTGACATGACTGCAGAAGCAAGATTTTTGGCAAGTAATAACTTTCAAATTATAAAAGTATGTGATATTAGAATTTTAGAACATAACGGACAGGACATATGGACCACATTTATGGCATATTTTTGGGGCTCAACAAACCTCATCCACTTATAAGAGCAGCTTGGACATTCTGCAAAATATCTTTCCACGAAAGAAACAACATCAAACGGGTTTGGAACAACATGAGGGTGACTAAATGATGAAGGAAATGTAATTTTTGGTAAACTCTTTCTAGGACATGTCAATCCACTGCATATATCCTTCGGCCTTGAGCGCTGAAGCCTCTTTGACGACAGTAACAGTGCTCGGTGAAACGCGCAATGAATCCTTGCGTAAAAGCGCACCACTTCATATCGCGTGGAAAGCCGCGGTCTCGCTGGATGACGAGCTGTGGTACTTCAGGGAATAGTTCATCCCATCGTTGTTGTCCCAGAACTCAGAGTTATCGTCCCTCATGTACACGGCGAAATGCACAGCAGCGCTCGGACCTAAGAAAGGAGGCGTGTACATGGTGAAGGAGAAGCGCTCTCCGCGCGTCTTGTGCTCTGTGGGCACGGGGATGGCTTGCGCATCCACGAACGACAGCCAGTCGTTGAAAGTATACCTGACCCCGACCTCTCTCCCACCCATCGCCCGTATGATCCCACGGACATCAAACTGCGTGACCGTGACGCTTTCCAGCGCGACGCGGCAGCGCGTCAGCCGCGTCTCCAAGTCACCGGAGTCCACGGGCGTCTTGAACGCCGGGACCAGATAGTCCAGAGCCAGAGTGGACTTGATGTTCACGCACAAGTCATCCATGAACTCCCGGTCCTTGTGGAGAGGGAAGCTCTTCAGCCTGGTGAAGACTTTGGCTGGAATCTGAGGATCTTCGCTGGTGCTGAAGTGCTTGACGCTCGCCAGATTCAAGCCGAGCGCGTCCGCGAACTTCACGCGTTTCCTGCAGTTCTGGGAGATCTGGTGGAACAGGTTCGCCTGCTCTGGATACGCAGGTAAGGACTTGGCTCTTCTCCTGTCTTTCAGGTACTCGGGTATCTCCTCGGGTTGAAGATCATCATCGGAGTCCAGTCCGTTCTCCATCTGCTCCTCGTTCATTGTGTCCATCATTCCAGGTTTGTAATCTCCAATGACAGAACGTGTCATTCCAGGAGAATCACTCCAGAGGCGCATTTATGCGCGGTCCTACATTGGTGGTTTGTCTAGTAATCAGTTACAAGCTGGTTACGCCCACCGCTGCTGTATACTACACAGATAAACGGAGTGAATTCAGTGGGTCAGAGAGAGAGAGAGATCAACATGAGCCTCTACACACACTTATTCAGGCTTTTTTTGGGGGGGGAATCATTGGCTATAAAAATTGTTTGTTTTGTGCCATAAATGATTGAGCTCATTTGTTCCCCAGTATATAATATAATAATTACAGCATTACAGTACTTTAATTTATTTATAACACAATTTATAAATAAATAAATAAATAATTTAAAACATTTAAAACATTTCTAAATTATAGCATGACAGTGCTTTTGCCTAAATAAATAAATAAGTACATGCAGTAATGTTAAAAATGTATAGTGTAATGTGTTATCTAATTCACTGACCATCTCAGGAATATCCTTGTTACGTATCCGGTCCATGAACTTCCGTCTGCTAGCCATCAGAGGTCACCCTTTCCATTTCATTGACTCTCGCACTACACACTGTTGCATATCACCCTGGACTACATATCCCATCATTCATTGCACTGATTGCACACAGCACTGATTGCACACAGCTGTATCATATCACTCACTCACTATTTAACACTCAATCTCACTCCTTTGAAACGGCCGAGTATTGTATGTGCTTATCGCCAGCAGTGATAGCTACTTTACAGAGCCCTCGTTAGTTTCCCAGTCCTAGCCTAGTCTTGCCCTGTCTGAAAACTTTGCCTGTTTTCCTGGATTTATCCCTCTAGTCTCGCCCTTTTGATTCTGTTCGCCGATCGTCGACCTACGCTAGCCCGGAGTTTAGTGAACCACAAGCTCCGGGATATTAAAGTTCACTGATCGCTACTCCGGTGATGCAACCCGCTCGTGAAATTCAAGTCTAGTCACAGCTGATCATCATGAGTCAAGTCTAGTCACAGCTGATCATCATGAGTCAAGTCTAGTCACAGCTGATCATCATGAGTCAAGTCTAGTCACAGCTGATCATCATGAGTCAAGTCTAGTCACAGCTGATCATCATGAGTCAAGTCTAGTCACAGCTGATCATCATGAGTCAAGTCTAGTCACAGCTGATCATCATGAGTCAAGTCTAGTCACAGCTGATCATCATGAGTCAAGTCTAGTCACAGCTGATCATCATGAGTCAAGTCTAGTCACAGCTGATCATCATGAGTCAAGTCTAGTCACAGCTGATCATCATGAGTCAAGTCTAGTCACAGCTGATCATCATGAGTCAAGTCTAGTCACAGCTGATCATCATGAGTCAAGTCTAGTCACAGCTGATCATCATGAGTCAAGTCTAGTCACAGCTGATCATCATGAGTCAAGTCTAGTCACAGCTGATCATCATGAGTCAAGTCTAGTCACAGCTGATCATCATGA